ATCTGAGGATTAATGTCTTTTATCAGTTTGGGAAAATTTTAAGCCATTATCTCTTAAAATATTGTTTTTGCCTAACCTTCTCTTTTTATCATTTGCATTGGGAATTGTAAGATATTAAACCCTCAGTCTCAATTCTACATGTCTGTCAACCTTCTTTTTTCATATTTTTTCTCGGTTTTTTTTGCATGGATTTTAATAATGTCTTTAGATCTATTTTCCTGTTTATTAATTTTATTCCTTTAACAATGCCCATGTAGCTATTTGACCCATCAGCTGAGCTTTTAATTGTCGTTTTTATATTTTCATGTTCGAAATTCTACTTTTATTCATGATTATTTTTATAGTCTCTTGCTTCTTATTCATATTCCAATATTTTATTTTATTTATGTAAATACATTATACAACTTATTTATACTCTGTGTCTGATAGAGTCAATAGTTGAAGACTCTGTGGATCAGATTTGGCTGTCCACTGATTGTGCTGGTATTTGCTCTTGTACTTTCTTTTTCCCTTGTCTATTTTATGATGTTTTAAAACTGTGAACTCGTAGTCCTTGGAACTTTACCTGTGGGAATTTTGTGGCCTGCGTTAAAGGGGTCTTTCTCCAGGGTGATTTTATACTTTATACTGAGAAAATAGGCCTTTGGAGCCCCAGCTTTATAGGCAGTGAGACAAGCCTCAGTCGTTGTATTCTATTCTCTGGATTCTATGAAGTTGAGAAAACATAAGCTTGAAAGTCACCGGGTTCTTCAAACATAACAGACCTAGCCTTTCTTCAGGTTACTACTTTCACTTACTTTTTGGTCTCTGTATTAGCTTCGTTGGGCTGTTATAATAAAGTACCACAAACTGGGTCACCTAACACAACGTAAGTTTATTTTCTCACAGTTCTGGAGGCCAGAAGTCTGACACCAAGGTCTTGGCAGGGCCACGTTCCCTCCAAAGCCCCTGGGGAGTGATCCTTCCTTGCCCCTTCCAGCTTCTGATAGTCCCAGGTGTTCCTTGCTTGTGGCATCATAACTCCAACCTCAGCCTCCATCTTCACATGGCTGTCTTCCCCTTGTGTCTGTTCATGTCCAAATTTTCCTCTTCTTATAAGGATACCAGTGATGTTGGATTATGACCCACCCTGATCCAAAATGACCTCATCTTAACCTGATTACATCTGCAAAGACCCTATTTTCAAATAAGGTCACGTTCACAGGTATAAGAGGTTAGAGCATATTTTGGGAGGAAATCAATGCAACCTATAGCAGTCTCCAACAATTGCTTAATTCCCTGCCGGCTCTTAAAAGCTTTCTTATATATTCTAGCTATTCAATTTAGTTATTGTCTACACAACTTTTTTGTTTTCTACTCAGTATCAGCTCTTATTTCTTGCTTGTTTCATTCTGCTTGGCCATCGCAGCCCCCTCCTTTCTCCCATTGTGCTGTGGACTTAGAAATCAGAAAAAAATAAGAGTGAGAAATAAGAAGACTTTCAATGGGGACTCAGTAGACATAATCGTGAATACAGTAGGAGGAAAGTACTACATGGACACTGCCATACTTTTCTTGGGGGATGCTCAAAGGACGTTTATCCCTAGATCACCATGTGTCTCTGCCCAGTCCTCTGGATCATAAAGATCTGGGGTTGAATCCTTTCCCTACCTCATGTAAGGTGTATGACCTTGAGAACATTTGTAGCTCTTAATTTCAGTTTCATCTATAAAGAGTATTGTAAAAACACCTACTTCTTAGGATGGATGACATAATGCCTACTGTGACCCCTGGCACAGAACAGGCATTTAGCAGTGGTGCAGACAGCTCTATTACAGTGTGCCAAATAGGTAAGGACTTTGAATAAGTTGCCTCTGGATAAGTGAAGTGTGACAAACAATGTCTTTAATGCACAATGCTGTGATGTAGTTAGGGCAGATATCCTATTTTATAGATGAGGAAACTGAGGCACTGAGATGCCAACTCACAAAACATGAAAGAAAGACGAACACTAACAACTGCACAAAATGAGAACATCTGTTTTGGAGATGATCAGTGGTTCTGTGTCGCTTAAAAGGGAAACTGGAATTCAAATTAACGCATCTTCCCTTTTGTACTCAGTGCTGCCAGCTAAGAAGTTATTGGGCCCCTGCATTAAAAGCCACCTTTCCTTCAACTCCAATGACACTTCATCTCTGTCAAGAGGGAGGGAAGAGATGGCGGGGGAAAAAAAGCCAGATGACATTTTATACTGTAATTCAAATCCCGAACATGCAACTACCCAAAGATATTAATATTTCAGCTTGTATCAGAGCCTCACCCAGGCCCACACTCCAGAGTAGCTTTATAATCTAAGGATGGAAAAGCCAGAAATCTCCACCACTCTGTGATTGACTCACACACATGTTGGAAGCAGAGTTCACAAATCTAATTCCTTTCTCCATTCCCGGACATTTTTACCCAGAAAACACAAGTGACTGGAGGTGGTGCTGCCCACTCAGCCAATTCCTGACAGCAGCTCCTAGTGAAAAATATTATGTTTGGAGTGAGCATTTATCCAGGAGCAGTGCTGAAATGAGATGGCGAGGGCGCAAATGAGGAATAAATGACCAGTGCAGGGAGCACTGGAGAAATGAGTGTGATTATGCAGGGGCTGTCCTCTATGAATACATTAGCTCCCCAGTAAGCCCATGCATTTTGACTGCCTCCAAAGCAATTTCTTGGTGTTTCAGTGAATACAGGTGTCTGCAAATGTTTTCTAAGCTCAGTTTCAGATAAGCTGGTCCTGCTGTCAGTCCTCAAAGCCCTGGAATGAAGTCTAGGGCATGACTCAGGCCCCGCCCAGGGCCTGGCAGGTCATCACAGGTGTCATGTGATGCTCACTGCAAGAGCCCAGTCTCCCCTCAGGTTAGGGCCAGGGCTGCCCCGGGCCAGCTGCCTGCCCAGAGAGGTGGGAGGTGGAAGGAGGTTAGAGGTGATAGGAGAGTGGATCCAAGCCACAGTCCTTCAGTGGGAACTGAGTAGCAGGAACCAGAGACCCAGATGCAGATACTAAGGCCAAAGGGGCAAAAGCAGGATCAGTAGCTGGAACCAGCCAGATGTTGAGGGAGGGAGGTCTGCGGGGATGTGTGAGCAGGCTGCATGAGAAGGAACATCTGGGATGATCACCATGAACACCTGTAGGTACAGGGTCCTCGCCAAGCACTGGCAAGCCTGCAGTGTGTGGGCATGTCAGGCTGTTTAGAGGTCCCCATGGAGAAGACACTGGGGACCACCGTGGGGTTTAATAGGGACACTCTCTGGACATAAGGATGGGTTTCCTTCTGGGACAAGATCTCTCATTGTATCCATCATCACATTCCTTCCAAACACCAAGGGACCTAATGTGTCCCTCAGATAGAAGAAGGGGTCCATTCTGCATTTATCTTTCCATAGGTCAAGGGAGAGGAGCCAGAAAGCCTAGGAAATGTTCTTGTAGGGCAAGAAATAAAATGGAGACTCTCGTGGGGTCACGCCATGAGCTGATAGCTGCAAAGGGCCCTGTGCTTGGGGACAAGAAAATGGAGTATGGCAGGAATGGGCCTGGGGGTGTGGCCAGCATTTGGTGGGGTCAGAAACCAGCATGAAGTGAGCCTGGCTGTGTTTCGTTATATCCCATGTGTTTATTTCCCTGCAGCTCTCTCTTGACAAAGTCTTTGGGAAAGTTCTGTAGGCCACTGTGGAGAAGACAGAGAGTATCGGAGTGACAAGTCCCAAGGGAAGTGACTGTGAGGGTCACTCTTGTCCAGCCACCCTGTGATGTCTCTTGTTTCTTGCTGGAGCACCTTTGCTCACCCCATGGGCCTCCATGTGGTTTTAACAGGGAGGCTGTTTCCTCGAGGGAGCTCAACTCTCCCCTGCCCCACCCCGGCCGAGCAGGTTCTAAAGTCCTCTCGTTCCCGAAACATCAAGAGGCTCTACCCTGTATTCCTCTCCCCTGGCCCCAGTCACACACACACAGACCAGGGCTCAGGACTGGACATTCAGAATCAGCCTGTGACCCTCAGCCTTAAGCCCATTTCTCCACCCCTGGACTCATTCGTCCTTGTGGGAGCAGAGCCCAGCCCTGCGGGTGAGAACCTCACTCACCCTGATCCCGAGCTCGACATTCTCGCCCCCGTAAACCTCCATGCCTTCATCCAGCAGGCCGATCTCCTGGAAGTACTGCCGGTCCACAATGAAGCAGCCGATGAGGGCAGGGCTCCTGCAGGGTAGTGGAGAGGGGCGAGCGGTGAGCAGAGGGGCTGTGTCACGGGGCTCTAAGAGCAGTAGGATCTTTCTACCAGGAGGATCCGATCCTCTTCCTTCCTTTGCTGCCAGAGTTGGGGTGGACCTTGTTCTTGGAGTGGCCTCCCAACCTGGGTCTGGCCTCACCCGACCACTGCAGAAAGGCTGTTTCATCAGGGCCGTGGGCAGACAGCTCCCACCCTGGGATCAGCTGCCACTGCCGGTGGTGCTGGCGTGTGTGTTGGCCCCAAGGAGTGGTGCTCAGCCTGCCAGTCCAGATGGACTGTCTGTATCTCCAGCTGGCCTGACCCTGACCTCTGCACAACCAGTCTCCGTCTCTGCCTGGACACCCAGGCCAACTTCCCCGCCCTTCCCCAACTTGGATTCTGCATATCAACCTCAGTCTACTTAGAAAGACTGAGGTTACATGGCAGACAATTTGGATTTTATCTATAGGGAAAGGGGTGGCCATGAGGAGTTTTAAGCAGCTCTGGTATGAATAGATCTGTGTTTAAAAAAAATACTCAGGCAGCTATAGGGTGATTGACTGGAAGAGATGAAGTGGGAATTGGGGAATCCAGTTGGGAAGGTTGTTGCTGTATCCAGGTGCGAAACAATGAAGACCTGGATCACAGTAGCAGGAATGGAGACTGGAATTGCTTAAAGACATATTTTGATATAAAATCATCAGAACTTCCCATCAGATGAACCACGAGGGTGAGGAAGTGGGAGGAACCTGGGTACCAGCTGGCTTTCTGGCTTGGGCAATGGTGGGCTGGGGGCCACTCATCAGTAAGGGGTGTAGAAGGAATTGGTTTGTGCAGCAAGCCATGCTGGGAAAACTGACCTTCAGGTAACTGTGGGACATCCCGGGGAAATATCCAGCAGGCAGGGCTTAGGTAGATGGTCTGGGTCTGGGATTCAACAGGGGTCCTAGGCTGGAGTAACTTGTCAACAACTGATAGGTCCAGGAGCTAGAAGGCCTTTCCTTCCGCATTGGGGGTGGGGGTGAGCTCGGGGCTCACCAGCTCTGTGCAGCCTCCCAGCACAGGACCTCAGAGAATGAGTCACATCAGGTGAGTCAGCATGAGTGCATGGGGCTGCGTCTCTGCTGAGAGCATTACTTATGCAATGACTTTCAATTGTTCTACTGCACACTGTAGCCCTTGCCTGGCATTTTAACAGCCCATGTCTGGAAGACTTGGTGGGGGAGAGAAAAGAAAAGGAGAAATGAAGAATCTTCCGTGATGAGAAAACTGTCAATCAATCACATGCAAATAGATCTGTCTTTGAAATTGGAAACTCATCAAGGTGAAGAAAAGGCTATTTTGCAGGCCATTTCCCTGGGGAACTGATGCTGCCGCAGAAGGCTGCTCTGACAGAGACTGGCACCTTGGGGTCACAGCCCCTCCTTTTTTCAAGTCACCAATTTTATTCTGAACAGGACTTCACCCTGCATAGACCGCAGGCATCATGGGAACTCAAAGCACCTCTCCTAAAGCAAGCTAGGACCCCGCTCCGGGGGAACCCTGGCCTTGGAGGTAATCGCTCTGGGAAAAATTCCCCTCTGTGTGTCTGAGAGAAATTCCCTATCCACTCTGGGCCTCTGATTCTACATGTGCAACATAGGATCCGTTATAACCGCATGCGGACTCACTTAAATGATGTAAAGCACTTGAGGGCTTCTGGGACATATCTGACATTCAAAAGGTCATTTAAAAAGATGCACTTGTACTTGCGCATTGAAGGAGCCCGGAGAACCCCCTCTCTAAGTGCATGATGGTTTGGAAACTGGCAGAGTGGGGTCACTGCCTTTTCCTCTGCACATTCCTGAAATGTTAGACCAGGACACGCAGGAAGCAGCCTTCCTCGAAGTGCCAGTTCCAGACAGGGAATGAACAGAATCTGAAACAGTTACTGGGGGATGAGCGCAGGCCATCTCGGTGGTCTATTATTAGCTAGGGCATTAAGTGGACTCAATCAGCCTGAAATTGTTATTGATTTATATCCTGCCTCATTCCTGAAAGGATTAGAAATAGCTTATGAGAAAATGTAAAATACATTGAAAACCATAAATAGAGAAATGTCTGGAAAGACCCAAAGATTACAACAAATTGGAGAGCCAGCTAGAAAGAATGTGTAGGCTGAGGTCTTCCTTCACTATTCTTAAAGTAGACCCGCCAACTTGGCTCTGAGCTTCCTGTTGGCCAAGGTGAAAATGAGCATACACGGTCTTAGAAATAAAATTTACAGTTTTCATATGAAAATGTCATACCGAGTGATTGCTCAGGGATAGCAAGGCTTTCTGTGACTGCTAGTCAGTTTGAGAGAAATTTCTCATGTGGATCTTCTTAAAGGGGTCACTTGAGGACCTAGTGAACAACCATCTCAAAGGCATCTTTTTATCTTTTTAGAATGCAATAGAAGATATTGCTGGGCTTTTTTTTAAATAGCTTACACCATGTGTGGGCAAAGCACTAAAATACAGCTCCAAAGAAAAAAGAGCTGAGATAGGCAAGATACATTTGTATAAATTACAGCTTTCTGTGGAGCTGTCTTCATCTAGGAATAAAACTAGGAATATTCTTCCAAAAAACCTTCCATAAATGTAATTTCTCTCAACCAAGTTTTTGATAAAAATTGGGTGATAGAAAATTTGAGGTTGAGATGACATTTTCTGGCAAGGACCTAGGATGTAGGTTTGCTAATTAAGACCAGATTTGATACATTTAGAGATGAGCAGAACAGAAACAGATACTATCAATGCAGTCTTCTGCAAGAATGCTCACTGCTGCGTGGTGGCATATTTCCCTCCAATAGCATTCAGCAGATCTAGGAGCAGAAATTGATCATGCCAACTCTGAGCTCAGCGGTGGCCCACTAGATGGATGACAACTAGCCACAGAGTCCAGCTGGCCTACTGGGTGCATCCTGGCTCCACTGTCCAGAGCCATTCTCCTCTCTCAGTCTTGCTGTCCTCATCTTGCAAAGCAGGGAAGACACACTGAGCTGTCATCAGGTTATGATCAAACGTGACCATGTGTGTAAAAGACCGTTGTACACAGTGGACTCCCAACAAATATTTAACATCACAAAATTGTGGCAGGGGCCTAGCAGAGTAGGCAACAGGTAACCACAGGAAAGTTAAGTGGGCTTCTCTTCTATCCTGTTTTAAATATGAATATAATTTTTTCTTCCGGCAAGGAAAAAGGTGATCTTAGGTAATAATCGCCTACTTTCAATTAAATTTTTCATAATCTTTCTCCCTCATGTAATACAAAGCAACTTCTAATCAGCTTCTAATCTCTTTCATTCCGGGAACTGTCCCCTAGGCCACCTTTGCCGTCTATGTGTTTAACAGGCAGGACTTTGTAGGGAGCATAACAACACCCACCCTGTCATCCACACGGACAGGAAGGAGAGCTGGTGGGGACGGCTATTTCAGGAGAACTGACCCCTGACCAGTGAAAGCAAAGGCTGCACAGGGTGGTCCTTCAGGTGTCTGGGAAGACAGTGGCAAGGGCAGAAAGAGTGTGGGATCTTTGAAATGCAGTTTGAAGTTACTTTTGTCTCAGTCCTACAGGTTAAAACTCAAACATCACCACGGTATATCAGGTCCTGTGGGGGCTGGTCTTGCCTCTGCACCCCTCCAGGCTCTGCCTGGGGCTTCCTGGCTTCCTTCCTCCTTCTAGTCCTTTTGAACCTCCTCTGTGTCCGTGAACTTCACATATGGGTGCCCACTCCCCAACCTGGCCATTGCCTACTTGCTCTTAAAAACAACGCCAATGCTACCCTCTCTGAAAAGAATTTCCCCGCTCTCCGCACAGTTTCTGCCTGCATGGTAGAGTAAATTTTTTATTCCAATGATTTTTTTTCTGTCCTTTGGGGGCAGGAACCAAATCTTAATCACTCTGGATCCCAGCACTGAGCACAGCGGTTGGCACCCAGCAGGTGTCCCACGGAGATGTGTTGAAATGAGTGATTTGGGGGCTATGAATGGATTCTGGGATGGTCAGAGCCTGAGAGCAAAGCCTGGAGATCATACTGTATGTAATTCCTTTCTGCCCTCCCCACCCCCTGCTGCTCCCAGAATAAGGGTTGGGCTGGGAGGGGGGCCCTTGCCTGGAGGCCAAAGCAGAGAGACCCACAGGTAAGGATGCTTTTACCTGATGGGGGCCGTGGAGTTCTGCAGCTTCCACCAGGCCTTGGGGGGATTTAGGTAGCGGCACCACAGCTCCCAGTCAAAGCCCTGTGCGGCCAGTGGGTACTCTTCTATCTCAAAGTTGTCATATTTGATGTTATCAAAGGATGGTGAGATGATCCGTTTCCGGTTCTCCTTTATGCGGGTGAGTACAGGTTCAGCCCTGAGCAAGAGGAAGTGAGACAGAGAGAGAGAGAGAGAGAGAGAGAGAGAGAGAGAGAGAGAGAGAGAGAAGAGAGAGTGAGTAACTGCTCCCAAGGTGGACAAGAACCAGATTAGCATCTCCTGTAGGTCCTTGCTTAGCAGAAAGAGGTAGGAACACCTGGTGGTCTCCTCTAGTGGAGAGGGGCACTGCCTCCTGGGAAGGAGCCCCTGTCCAACTTCCCACCCCCCTCAGCACTTCGTGATGGCAAATGGCCTGGCCACTCCTGCCGCATGTCCAGGGCTGAGCTGAGCGATTCCTATCCCAGCCAGCCTTGTGCCTGCTTGCTTTCCCTTTCTTCGCTAGGAAAAAAAAAAAAAACAAAACAACCAAACCCAAGACTTAAAAAAGAAGAAAGGAATAGATCTGAGGTTCCAGAGGAAGCTTTCAACTTGGGCTTTGATTTTGCTAAAATTCAATGTATCAACCTGGAGGAAAAGACAGATGGAAATGGCAGAGACTGGGAGGTGAGAACCAACCTATGTCCACCAGCCATGCAATGTCGCCTTGGAATGTCAGCCATGCTCCCCACCCCTCTGTGCTCCCCAACTGCCCAAGGAGAGGTGGGCCATCAGGGCTTTCCCAGGGAGCCAGGAGGCCCCTGCAAGCACCAAGTAAGCCATGTTTGCAGAAGGGAATGGCAAGCTTCTCATTAATAACACATTTGATCCATAATTGTTTATTCAAATCAGCTTGAAATGGTAAGTGTCCCTTTCCTATTGTGGCCATAAATCCAATGAAAACGCTTTTTAAATAGTTGCAAATGGCAAACAGGGACTTCAGCTATAAAAAATGGTTGTGTTGCAGCCTTCAATTGGGCCTGTTATGCCGGAATCCAGCCCAGGCTGTGTGCATGCCCTGCTACCCCTTCCTGCTGGAGAGCCTTTCTCACCCTGTCCCTAGAGGGCAGCTGGCACCGTGGAGTGTGAGGAGAGCAGACCCAGTGCCATCAGGCATACTGGTAAGAAGGGTGGCAACTTACTTGCCCCAGCTACTTGCAGTCATCCCAGTGCCTGCGCCCAGCAAAGCCACTTAGGCCCAGCAATGCCACACATCGCGGGCTGCGCCGTGCCCTCCAGCCCTGCAGGGATGTCAGCATCGCTGCTCTAGCCCTGCTCGGCCGCAGCCACTGGGACGTTTCATCTGCTCCCTGAGCAGCTGTGACCAGAGAAAGAAGCAAGTTCAAAGACTTAGCTTCACTATAGGGAGAATCTGAGATTATGTGCTACCTCAGGCCTGGCATTTGGGGGAGCCCAGGGCACCCCTGATGACATCAAGCCACCTTCACCCACCTCTGCCCACTTGGTCTTGGCCCTGTCTGTGAGGCTGGGCTTCTGCCTCCTGCCTGGTCCAGCTGGGCCTCTCTGGGTGTGGGAGCCCTGTCCTCAGCTGGGCAGGCAGGCACTCTCTGCTCTGCCCTGAGCACCACGTACCCCTCTCTCTGGTCACACCTCCCTGACGGCCACACCAGGCAGAGCCACACCTGGTGTCACCATACCCTTTAGGCACTGTGTGCTGACCTGTTGACACTGAAATACCCCCTGAAGTGCCAGTCCTGTTGCCTAGGTCACATACACCTCCCATGTCACCTGTTCCCAGAATTCTCTCCTTTTCCTCCAGCCCATAACTGAGATCCCAGCACGCTTTGCTCCCACGGGGACGCCCCCTCCCCTCCCCAGAGGGGCTTACCAGCCCACATTGAACTCCACGTGGGCATCGAAGAGTGCCACCACGGGGGCAGTGGCCACCCTCCAGCCGCTGACCCTGGAGCGGATGAGGCCTTCCTGCTTGCTGTGGCGCACGACTTTGATGAAGCCGGGCTTCCGGCCGTTCACCTTGTCCACGTATTCCGCCAGCTTCTCCTTCAGTTCCTCTGTCAGGGAGAAAGCGCGTCCTTAGTGAGGGGCGGGGGGGCAATCGAAGCATTCTCTCCACCAGGGAGAACTGACCCCAGACAGCAGCTAGAGGGCCCAGTCCCCTCCCTGGGTCTTCCTCCGTGCTCCCCACAGTGGCCAGCACGGCTCAGCTTTGGAGGGGAAAACACTATCGACGGGGCCCCAGCCACACGCTGGCATCCTGCGCCTCACGCACACTGTTTATTTAATCTTCACAACAAGCTAACGGGAAAAGGGTGGCCCAGAAGAGTTTATCAATTTCTCCAACATCACGCAGCCTGTGAGTGGCGTAGTCCAGTTTCAAACTGGGTCCTGTGGCCTGACGAGCCGTGCTCTCTCCTGATCAGCCAGGCTGCCCCTTCCCAGTGCTCCCCACTGGTGCTCCCACAGCCCCAGGGAAAGCTCCATCGGCCAAGACCATAGCCCGGGACCCACTCTCTGCCTGGGTCCCATTGCCGCGCCCCTGGGAGCGGTTGCCATTTGTCTGCTGCCTACGGCTGCAAGGCCTGGCTAAGCATTTGATGCTTCTGCTTGTTCACGACTGCAAAGGGGGCTGCGCAACAGAAACAGGCCTCAGTAGGGGCCCCCTTACCCCTCAGCAGCGAGGGCATGGCAGTATGTTCTTTATGTTCCCACAGCAGCTGAGGCAGGAGCCTATGACAGCCCTCACAGCTGCTTGGATGGGATTTTAAAGTTTGTTCTGAACCAATTACCCATCTCAAGGTGTGAATTCCCATTGACTGTTCTGACGAGCAGACATCCAACCCCTGCAGTAAAAGGGAATTCCATGCAGTCCATTCCTTTGGGGGCCACTTCAACTATTAGAAGCTCTTCCTTCTTCTGACCTCCAAATGCCAAGGTCCCTCAAACTTCTACTCATTAGTCCCATGGGACCTTTTTTTGAAGCCATAGAAGACAGATCAAGTCCCTCTTTCATAGAACAAACTTTTAGAGTGGAAGACCATCCTTAAGTCCTTGCTGAGGACTTCTCTAGGTCAAATACCTTCAGTTCTTACTCATGTTTCCCCAAATCTCATAATTTCAAATTCTTTAATCATGTTGAACTTCCCTCTAAATAAGTTTTTCTCTCTTTTAAATTATGCACCCAGAAGTTGATATAATACTTCTGAAGTAAAATGGGCTATACAGAATACAGGGAACTAATCACCTCCCTTAATCTAGAATCTATGCTCCTGTTAATATAATCTAAAGTCACATCAATTTTGACTACTTTTGACTCAAGTTAAGCATACTGGAAACATACCTCTACAAGTGTATTTTTACAGGGTGCTACTAAGTCAGGCCTCCGTCATCCTGTATGTGAGTGCAGGCGTAAGTGCATGTGCTTGTGTGTGTGCACACGTACACACGCACACTGAGCCAAAACAAAGAATCTAACATTTAATCTTATTTAATTTGACCTTTCTAAAGATTTACACTATTTGTCTTTGTTATCTAGCCCTTCCAGCTTTCCAGCGTCTGCAAAAGTGGTGAGCGTATGGTCTTTATTGTCATTCAAGTCATCCTTTTAAACGCTGTCACCTTTGTCCTAAACTGGGGCCAGTGGGGGCTGTCAGGGATTCTCATTCCAGTCTGGAGAAAATGTAGCTGACTTTTGGGCTGCCGCTATGTGCTGTATATCTCACTGTAGCCCACAGGACAGTGACCTTGCGATCTCTGATCGCCACAGCTGGCTGGGGAGGCTGCTGTCTCACAAATGTCAGGACGTCGGCCACAGAACTGCGTAACTCAATGTGTCCCATGCTTACAAGGCCCTCAAGCACCATTGCCAAGAGGCTGCTTGAAACATTTACTGCTTCATCACCCCAAAGGTTCTCTCATATATCCTTTTTGAAAATTTTAAATGGACCTCATAAAGCCAGATAGTTGGGCTTTTGATAGTAGCAGTTAAGTGGTGAGTGCACAGAACTTGGGGTGAGAACTAGGCTGGTGCCAAATGACCTGATATATAAGCCCCTCCCCTCCTCCCCTGCCCCCAGGAGTACAAAACGAGTCCCCTTCTCGTCCTCCTCACCCCTCAGGTGAGACTGATGGGGGTGACTGAGGCATTGATGGGAGCAGGCTGTGGATGGTTGCTACCTAATGGTCCCCCGTGAATCCTACCTGAATCCACATCCCATGTGGCCACCTAACATGCTGAATCTGGGCTGGACCCCTGACACAACAGGATGCAGCAGGAGGGCCTCTGTGCAAGCCCCAGGCCAGTCTCTAAGAGGTCTGGCAGCTTCTGCTTTTGCTGTCTCGCTGCCCTAAGAAGGAAGCCTGAGCCAGCCTCCTTGAGGGGCTCAGCAGTCCCCAGTCATTTAGGCCACCCCACTAAGGCCCCAGACATGCCACCAGCTGATTACAAATGCCTGGGAGAGCCCAGCTGACACCATGTAGAGCAGAGACAAGCTGCCTAGCAATCCCAGCCTTTATTGTAGGATTCGGAGCCAATGAATGGTTGCTGTTTCGCGCCACTAACTTCTGGAATGGTTTGTTATACACAAATGCTAACTAGTGTCTATTGTTCTGGTCTGGCGCTGGGGTTAAAATAAGATTGTGAAGCCCTGATGCACAGGCAATGAAGCTGGACAAAGAGGAGCTAGCTCAGAGGATGGCAGCAAGAGATGGAAGCTTTGCTTCTTGTAGGAGCTACTTGCTCCTTTGTACCTCTGAGCTCTGTTAACACTGAACTACAATAGAGGTTTCTGGTAGACCAGCTACTGAAAAATTCTGTTCCCAGTCAGCTGCATCCCAAACATGTGCTATTGATTAGAAGAGGGAATTCTTTGAGCCCCAGTGAAACTGCTATCCAAAAATAAGAAGAAGAAAGAAAAAGGTCTTGAAATACTCTAGATGATACTTGTGTACTCTTTGCAAAATATTTTTACCTAATTAGGTTTTCATGTTTTCCTTCAATCTGTGTTAATTGCCAAAGCAAGAAAGAACTATTGAAAAGTACTTCTGCATTTTCTGGAACACTATTTTCTAAGATATTGCCTGTTGTATATTATATATTATTATAATAATATGTATATTGCCTGTTAAATATTGTATACACACGTAAATAATACCCCTCAGGACTTAGCTAAAGTTCTTTAGCTTGGAGTTAAAGAACTTGCGTTTTTTTCTCATACCTAAACACAAGCACATAACCCATAGTAGTTGCCTTTTTGCTAAGGTTGCCGGGAAGCTCAGATTCAAATAAAATGGCTAATTCCAAGGGTTCTGTCAACATTTTTGCTTCCCTACCATTGCTAAAGCTTTGGTTTTCAAGTTGTAGTTTAATAGCTACATTATCTTTTACCTTTTTTCCCTTCTGGGTAAACTAAATTTAATTATTTCTGTGTGTGTGAAATATCTATAAATAACATTTAACAAAGTATCTTGGTAGGCCAGGACAGGAGCATAATTGCGAAAGGAAGGGGGAAGCTATATTTTGTACTTGTTTTAATGTGCTGGGGAAAGAGCAGGTAGGGAGTCCGCTTGCTGAGACTTTGCCAGATTGGGTCAACGTGGAGCCGTCGATGGCCAGTGTTGACAGAGAAATACAGTTTGTACCCTGCATGGGACCAGGTGTCATCCTGCTTGTGTTGCCGCTCCAGCTCTCTCCTGCTGTCCGCAAATTCTGCTCTGCTGACATCTGAAGGACCTCTGCAAACCAGCCCTCCAGAAGCAGTGCCAATGAAGCACCCCTTGCCTCCTGGGAGGTCACACTCCACACCCCCACGTGGAACCTCCTCTCAGAGCCAGCTAAGTACAGGCTGCCTGTGGCTCTCACTGCTTCAGATGCCAAGGAAACACGGGAGATTCACCAGCCTGGCCAAACAGCCTTTCTCCCCTCCCCGTCCAAGCGCCTTCGCTGGTCCCCTAAAAAGTGGTTAGCTCCACAGAATGCAGGCTGAGCAGGAAGGGTCTGGCACCGATGGCTGTTAATCTGATATAAACACTTCATGGGCCATTCTGATCTCACGCATAAAGGAAACTAAAGGATCAGGAAGTTGATGCCAATGGGGCTTTGCTCTTTGGAAGGCAGCTGCACAGGCGTTTTGCTGCATGGCTTTTCCAGGCTTGCTACGGAGAACCGAGTCCCGATCTTCATCTCTCCCTCCCACACTGAATCAGATGATCATCTCCCACGTTTGCTCTAGGTTTTGGGGAAGCTGGAGTAAAGGGAGAGGCCACCCATTCATTCATTCATTCATTCATTTATTCAACTAATACTGAGCACTTACTATGTAGCAGGTACTGATGTCATTGCTGTGGACAAGATAGTCTGCCATGTATTCAATGTCTGTGTTCCCCCCCACTCCCAAATTCATATGTTGGAATCCTAACTCCCACTGCAATGGTATTAGGTGGGGCCTTTGGGAGATAATTAGGTCATGAGGGTACAGCCCTTGTCTTAGTCCATTTTGGGCAGCTGTAACAGAATCCCTGAGACTAGGGGAATTTATAAGGAATAGAAATTTATTTCCTCACAGTTTTGGAGCCTGGGAAGTCCAAGATAAAGGTCCTGGCATTTGGTCTGGTGAGGGCCTTCTTGCTGCGTCATCACGTGGCGGGAAGAAGAAGGGCAAGCCAGCCTAAAGCTGCATGAAGCCTCTTTTTGAAGAGCCTTAATCCCATAAACAGGGAAGCAGTCCTCATGGCCTACTCTCCGCTGAAAGGCCTCATCTTTCAATCCTGTCACATTGGCAACATCTGAATTTTGGAAGGGATACACTTGAACCATAGCAGCGCTAATAAATGGGATTAGTGCCCTTATAAAAGGGACCCCAGAGAGCTCTCTTGCCCTCTTTCTGACATGTGACGATGCCATGAGAAGTCGGCAGTCTGCAACCTGGAAGAGGCCCTCAGCAGAACCTGACCACGCTGGCACCCTGATCTCAGACTCCCAGCCTTTCTGTCGTTGATAAGCCACTTGGTCTGTGATACTTTGTTACAGGTGCCTGAACTGAGACACAGTCTAAGC